ATACGCTTACATTGTGGTTTTTTGGAACATTTTGCAGAATAAAGAAATAGAGATGGAAGATACCATTAAAGGCAATATTTTTTCACTTTTCTCAGGATAAATCTCTAGGGTACATAATGCTGGTGACAGCTCCCTACTGAAGCATGTGACTCACTAAGTCAGTCTGTGTCTGCTTCATGCAATATGTATATTTCAGCCCCATCCTGGAGCCTGCTCATTCCCCCATTCCACATCTCTGGGCAGAAATAAATAACAAAGGTAGAAGGGCCTTGAAATATATAATCCATGATATTGATTTTTAACATATTAAAAAGTATCTGAAACTCTGGTACCCTATAGTTGTAACTGTCTGACATTTAATAAAAAAATGAGACACCTTATCCCAGGAAACAAATGAAAATTCTAGTACCTGAAAGAATTGGATAATGATACGAACATTAAGCCACAATTGAACAACCAGAAACCAGTTCATCCCTCTCATTTTTTTCATGCTTTGCCTTAATTGCTGACTTCTTCATCTAATGTCCAATGATCATATTAAATTAAGCATTATTGTTGTCTGTCATTACATTCTTAAGGGAACTTCAGGGTCCTTTTGGAACAAAGACCCTATTAAATCATGGCTCTAGGGCTCAAGAGCTGAAACACAAGACATGCTGGGTGTGGGGGGAGCACCCAGTGAAACAAGAGTACCCAGGACACTAAGGTGATCAAATTTCAAAGTAATTCTGGAGGCTTGCATTTCAGAGTGCAGGGTCAGGCCACAGAGCGATGCTGGTGAAGCAGAAGAGCTATGTGATAAAGATGCAGTGTAATAGCTAAGAACTAATTCAGGAGGAAAAACACATAAGTACACGGAGAGTTCACTGCTGCTTCAGTCTCTGCAGATAAGGAATGCTCTCACTTGTATTCTACCGCATAATTTAAGAGCTCTGTTTACAAAGACCAATTTCAGTAATACTGACCCGATGAAGTTTAACATCACAACCCAGCACTCCCAATAAAACCAGCATTTCAGATTATTGGATTGGAAATGTTTTGTGGCATTTCCATATTATGAACAGAGTGCCACCATATTCACTTTCTCTAGCTGTCTACATTAGATTCTTTAAAAATACAAGCTAAAAATGTACTTATAATGATGTTATAACAGGATATGTAATTTATTGCAATTACTTGTTTTTCAGGCAGTGTGGTCTCATCACTAATTCCAGTTATCACTGTACAAATCATCAGTGGGCACAGACAGCCATCGCCATGTATGTGTGTGAAGTTGTACATGAGTATGTGTTCATGCACATAAACATGCATCATATGTGCCATTATGTGTACATATACATACACATGTTTATATAAAATATATGCATGTAAATATATATATAATATATGTGTATTAGTGTGAAAGAGGGGCACATGGACTTATTTGTTGAAAGGATCTTGCATTTTACATAAAATGGCACAAAGTCTACACAGATTGTAAATTAAAGATGCAGTTGTAATCTCTAGAGAAACTAATAAAACTTAATACAAGGAAATGTAGCTAAAATACAAATCAAGTCAAAAATTAGAATTTTTAAAAGGAAGTTTAATCCAAAAGGAAACAAAACAAAAGAGATGAATAGGAATAGCAAAATGGAAGACTTAAATCCACCGTGTTAAGAATTATATTAAATATAAATGGATTAAACATTCCAGTGAAATATTAGAGATTGTTCAAGTGGCTAGAAAAGCAACACCAAATTAAAGGATGTTTAAAACAAACACATTTTATATAAAAACACAAATAAACTGAAATTAAAAGGGTAGGAAATAGTATCATGCAAAGACTATTCCTAAATAAGCTGATGTGGGTATGTTGATACGAGATAAAGTAGAATTTAAGAAAAATAACATAATCAAGAATAGAGAAGGATATTTTACCATAATGAAAGAGTCAGGAAGATGTAACAATCCTAAATGTGTATGTAACTAGCTTCAAAATATATAAAGGAGAAATTGATAAAATGGGAGACAGAAAAATACATAATTATCATTAGGGATTTTAACACTCATGTCTGTGAAACTGATATAATAAGTACCAAATACTGTGGAGGATATAGAAAACATAAATATTATCAAACAAATGAACCAAATAGATTTTTCTAGAACATTATATCCAACCATTGTAGAAATCACATTTATTTCAAGTGTCCATGGAATGTTCACCAGGATAGACCAAATTCTGAGCTACAAAATATGTTTCAATAAACTTCAAAAATATAGAGTATATTCTTTGTTCAAAATTGAACAAGATTAGAAATCAACATTAACAAGCTATCTGGAAAATCACCAATTATTGGTAGTTAAATAATATGCTTCTTAATAATACATGGGATAAAGAAGAAAGCAACACTTAAATTAGAAAATATTTCATAATAATATTAAAAACTCAATATGTAAAAATTTTCAGATGTTAAGTTAATATAGTTATAGTTATATTATTATACTATATATTCAATATATATACAATATTGTTATATATAACAATATTAATATATTGTTAATGTCAACATGTTAATATATTACTTAAAAGGAAACTAATGGCTTTAGATATTTTTAAATGGCTATATTAAGAAAAGAAAATTTTAAAGTTATGATCCAAGTGTATCCCACAAAAAGCAAGGAAAAGAAAGTCACATTAAGCCTTTAGATAGAATGAAGACAAACAGAACTTAATGAAAGAGAAAAGAATCCAACAAAAATTTTTATAGATGTTAATGAAGCCAAATGTGGATGTTTTTGAAAGCTAGACTGATTAAGAAAAAGAGACACAGAAACACACACAATACCACCACTAAGAATGAAAGAGGAAACATCAGTATAGATCTCACAGTCACCAATGGGCTAAATGACAATACTGTAAGCAACTTTTTGATAAAAAACTGACAACACAGATAAAACAGACAGATTCATTAGAAAATATCTCTTTTGTCATTTTTTATGTTTTTAATTTTTTCCATTGAACTTGATTAATCTGGCTAGGAATTTCTTCTACATAACCTTACATATGTTAATGTAGCTGAATTAGTAACTACAAAATCTTCCCACAGAGAGAACTCATGGATAAATTCTGACAAATATTTAAGGAACAACAACAATCATATATAAACTCCTTAAGAAAATCAAATAGTAAGGAACATTCTCAATTCATTTTATGAGGGTAGAATAACTCTAATATAAATTCTTGAAAGGTAATCATAAGAAGACAAGATTTCTAAATTGTATCACTCAAGGACATAAATGTAAAAATTCTGAACAAAATGTTCACAAATCAAATCAGCAAAATGTAAAAATACATAATTATGACCAAGTGGAGTTAACCAAGGAATGCTGGTTGGTTTTGCATGCAAACACCAATGGAAAATGTGAGGCCTAGTAGTACAATGTACCACATTTACAGGATAAAGGAGCAAAACAACATATATATCAACAGAACAGGGTAAAAAATTTGGTGAAGTAAACACACTTTCGTGAAGAAATCTCCTGACCATCCAGGACCAGAAAGGGACTTCCTCCATTTGATAAAGGGTAACTTCTTCCATATAAAGTTGGCATCATATTTAATGACAAAATGTGAAAACACCTTACTTGACAATTATGAAGTTCCAGAGTAAGGAAAGTGCATCTATGGTGATAGAAATCAGAACAAAGGTGGCTTTCTGGGGGAGTGGAAGGGATCAAATGGAAGAGGGCAAAAGAGAGCTTTCTGGCCCTATGGAAACAAGCCAGATTTTGATCAGTATGCTGGTAGCAAGGGTGAATACATTTGTTAAAATTTCAACTGTAGACCTAAAATGAATGCATCTTACTGCATAGAAATAAATCCTCAAAATAAAAAGAGATGCTGTATTTAACTTCTTACTTCCCATATTTTCCAAATGGCACTAGAGTATCATGGATGATATAGTTCATGGTCATGGAGCAAAATAACGTGGGACCCAGCAGAATGATGCAGAAAACATAATCCTCGAAAGAAAGCATTAGTTTTAGGCTCATTTCTTTAACGAACAGAAGAGTAACATTCAAAAAGCTCTTAGCAATTTCACATATTCTGCTCATGTGTAAAGAAACATTAGGAATATATACTGATGCTGATTGACTATTCTTGCTCCAAGCTGAGATTACCCAGCTGAGCAGATAAGCCTCCAGCTCTGGTGCATGGCTGCAGCTGATCTTTGAGAAGGCCTCCTTGAGTTTAGAAGAAAGAAGATTATCATGTTAGATTTCAATTGGAATATTCACATTTTACTCTGCAATGCTAGAAGTTTCTGGAGGACTATATATATGGTCTATTTTCCTCTTGATTTCATTATAAGTTAGAATTAAAGAAACCTCAAAAATAGTTACTCTCATTTAATTTATGGGTAGCTTTCCTTGTGGCTCAGTAGAGCACATTCCTAAATCTGGGTATTCCCTACTTAGCAAGAGCATGTCTCTTGTGTTACATGAGGAATTTATATGAGGAAACTGTGCTGGTGATGTCCCTGGGGCCAGAGAAGTAGCTGTCATCTTCTATAAGAAACTGTCCTGAAAACACTTTATTTGGGGGGTTAGTAATATAAGCCCAGACAGGCTGCTGCTTTATAGTAAATTACGCTTATACCTGAGAAAGTTAAGAGAGGGGCATTATTTTCTTAATGTTACTTAAAAAAAGATGCATAGTCCTAATTTGCTAACTACACCAATCACAATTACTGCTGAGCTCCCACATAATAAATTAGAAAGAGCTGACAAAGAGTCCACGTCCACTCTCGAATGGAAACTGATACCCACAGCAGTGTCTACCGTCATTTTCTTTGCCTATAAAACATGTGTTTCCTGTTACATAGGAGCAGCCCTAACATGCAGGATTCAACATTTGGTAGGTACCCAATACATGCAGAACACATCAACGTCAGTTACAGGGAATAAAAGGGTGCTATGAATCACACTGCCTTGGGCATTTGCCAACAATCACTTGCCTTTTTAAAATCCAGCATGCAGACCTTGGCTTTCTCTCCAAACTGCCACTTGCACTGCGTGTTTGCATCGTATAACTCCCCAGGCAGCTTCTCAGGATACTTGTATTCCCTCATGGGCTTTGGCTGATCAGCAAGGCACACAGCTTGGGCAGTGCTGAAACACAGAGGAGATGGCCCCGTGGTCAGGCCGAAACGCTCACCAAGGACGCATAGCAGCCATGCCTGTTTTTCTCCTCACATAACATTCTCAGATGTTTGAATTGTACAATGTGCCCTGTATAGAGAAGAGGGGACATTTTCCCCCTGAGGTCCAATATAACATTGATCTTAATTACATGTACATATAGAGGCTGCATTTTCTGAAATTGTTCATAATACATTTCACCTTTTCCAGGAAAGCAATTTGTTCTTCATTAAATTTCTCAAACTCTTCATGGAGAAATGTGAAGTGGAATCATATAACCAGATGTTCAATGTGAGAAACTCGTATACAGACACTTCTATGTACACTTCTTGCCAGGAACAATCAAAAGAAAGAAATGGGCATTGTAAATGGTGAAACAGAATCAACCTGTTTCAAAGAATGGAATTTTTCTCTCTCTCCCTCCCTTTTTTTTGAGCTAGAGGGCACCTGCACAACAGCTCCCAGCTTTTGGGGTTCCCCATGGAACGCTGCAATGATACCCGCCAGCAGTGCTCTCTACTCAGGCTAATTTCTGACTAGACTCCCAAGAAGGAAATTAACTTTCCTTAAATTGACTACAGATGGCAAGGGACCAGCTAATGATTCCTTCCTCGACATATTGAGTATCCATTTCTTTACTAGGTACAGGCAGAGGCATGATTTTTACATTTGGAGGCAGCAGGGACACGTTTTCAGATAGTAACTAATCCTGCTTACAAATTTTAGTAAGCCTCCCCTGCCAAAAAAAAAATACCTACTCTGTAATCACAATAAATTGAACAGCAGCAGGTCTGCCCATGTATCCCCAAGCTTCTCTTCGTGAGGTTGCCTGCCCTGACTGGGATGTTTATGGCTAAAGTTTCCAGAACCCCATGCCACATTCCACTGCCTTAGGGCCCACTGATGCATGCCTCCAGTTAATAGTCACATATACAGGACATGAGGGATGGCACTGTCACTGCGCATGAGACATTACTCCTGTGCGCAAGGCAGTCAGAAGCCTTTTACCGGCAAACTAAGAAGCACAGGTTAAACCAAGCGATAGGAAAGTGCAAAGGGCAGTGACCGGCTCGCTGTGAGTGCTGAGTAAATACTTTGTCTATTCTTGCTGCTACAGTCATGTTGCAAGGAGATATTACAAGCAAAGAAAAACAAATAAAAGCATAATTAACTCTCCATGGCAGGAGTGACTTGGCACCTTTGGAATTCCGCAACACGTCTCTCATGGGTCTCAAATGATTTCTATATACTGGTTGGATGTTCCATATTATCCTCTAAGGTTACACCAGGGTGGTCCTTATGGCCTTCTGTGGACACGAAACTAGGAAAAGTCAGCTAAATTGACTGGTCCAAGTAAGAGACTGAAAAATTAAAAAACAGTTCGCAAGTTCAGGAATTTTTATAGGTTGTATAAATGTAACCTGTTATTTCTTCCTCAGCCTGGAAACTTAATTCAAGGGGGACTTCCACTGCTAACGATGGTAGACTAGCATGAATCAGACTCGTCCTTCTGCAGGCAGGAGAAAACTACCAAAGTGAAAAGGGCTTGAAAGACAAAAGTTCCCAGAGCCAAGGGAAGCACAGATGTGAGCCCCGAATCCAGCACTGCTTTTCCCCACAGGAATCTGATGAGTCATAAGCAGCTGCCAAGAAGCACTGGGGTGGGGGGGAGCAGAGTGGGAAATGGTGATCAGCAGGTTGAGAGACTGAGTAGAGTTTTTGGCAATCTGGTGGAGCTAGGAGATGAAAAACGGAACTGAATTTCTGCCGAGAAGGAGGGGCCATGGTAAACACCACAGGATTTCCACGGAAGCCACAGAAATGGGTGTATACTCTAGAAGGGAGAATGACCCTGGATAGACCACTTAAGAAACTGAATGCCAGGTTTGCACCAGCTCCATCTCAAAGTGGATTCAGTTAAACTGCAACTACTCTGCCTGCCAGAAAGAAAAGGTAATATCAGGGGGTTTCTTTTGTCTTTAATTTTTCCCTAAGCAATATCTGTCATTTATTCAAAATTATGAAGTGTACTAGGTGATGAGATCCAACAAAAGATTATACAAGTAATAGAAGCAGACTCAGAGACGATCCAGGTATTGGAGTGATCAGAAATGGAGTTTAAAAGTATTGTGATGAATGGATGCAAGAAAATAGAAGTTAAGATGGAGAATTTCACCAGAGAACTAACATATACAAAAATAGGCATATGGTGCATTGTGAAAAGTTAATATTTATGTCATTGGAATCCAAAAAGGAGAGGAGAGAATGAATGAGGCACAACCAATTAAATAAAAGGGCCAAGAAAGTTCAAAAACTGATGAAATGTAAATAAACCATAGATCTAAGCTGTTCTAAAACCCCAAGAAAAATTAAAAGAAAAGCACACATAAATACACGGTGGGAATCCAATAAGAAACCAAAATCTCAGGAAAAATATTAAAAGCAACTTGGCAAAAAGAGGCATGCAACTTTCAAAGGAGCAACCACAGGATTGACAGCTGTCTCATCAATAGAAACGACAGAGCCAAAGAACGCTGGAATGACAGCTTCCAAGTACTGGAACATGTAACTGCTAAGCTGGAATTTTATTCAACAGTAAAATACCCTTTACCAAAAAAAGGTAAAAGATATAAGCCACACATCTTACTCCACTGATGGACAATGACTGCATTGGGGTGTGGGTGGGGACTTGATAATATGGGTCAATGTAGTAACCACATTGTTTTTCCATGTGAAACCTTCGTAAGAGTCTATATCAATCATACCTTAATAAAAAATTTAAAATAAATAAAATAAAATAGCTCTAAAAAAACAAAAAGATGAAGCCACAGAGATGAAACCCTGGCAGTGAGGGGAGGCCCTCGCCTGGGGGGTAAATGGTGAAGCACGCCGGCCGGGAGCGGGATGCACCCACAGAGTGGGAGGACGCAGGAACGCAGATGGCAGCACTGTGACGTGAAAGTCCGTCCCTCTTAGCGTCACACTGGAAGAGCTGAACTCTGCATGTGGATCTTACGCCTGGTCCTCCTGGGTAGGTTCGCTCATAAGCAGGTTTTCCCCTGTCCCCTCGGCCAAAGCTGGTCACACAGCTAACCCAGAGTCCATGAGGCAGAACTAAGGGCCCCCCGGGGGTTGGGGCACAGAGCAAAAGCAGCATTTGCAGCCATTTTACAAATCTACCACCGTGTCTGCATGAAAAATATAAGTCTTGGCATCTTGCATGCCCTATGCTAAAATCAGTTTGCCTATATATTATAAGCAAAATAATAGGCTTGTGGAGAGTTCACATGGAAGAATATATTCATTTCGGGTAAGCACAGTTTTCTTCACCAGTGCACAAAAGTGTTAATTCTAAGGAAAATATATGGATAACTTGGACTCCATTTAAAAAACTTAAAAATACTTCTCTTTTACCAATAACAGTATAAGTACCAAGCTATACAATGAAAGAAGATACTTGCAATATGTATGTTTCATAGTGGACAAAGTAGTCATACTCAGAATGTATAAAGTATTCCTGCCAAAAGATAAGATAAATAAAGAAGCCTAATTTTAAAAAATGCAGAAGAAATATGAACAGGCACTTCTCTAAAGAGGTTTTTCAAGTGGCCATTAAACATGTAAAAGGCATGCAGTCTGTGACATGCCACTACACACCCACCAGAATGGCTAAAGCAAAGACAGTCAACAAGACCAAACGCCAGTCCTTGCAGCCAACAGCACGTTTTGTAGCCATTTGTATGTTCATGAATGCTTGTGGACATGTAACTTTGCAGAGCCACTTAGGAAAGCTGTTGGGAGTGTCTACTGACCCTGTAGATTACATATTTGTGAGGCTGAAGTTCTATTACTATTATATATACATAATTATGTATAATTATATGCATATAATTACTACACACACACACACCCTGAAAGAACATTCATAGGAACATCTCTTACAATAACCTGCAATTGGAAGCTTTTGTCTGCTACCACCAGAATAGACTAATAAGCTGCAGCATGTCAATACTATTAAAGGTAAGTAAATGAAGGTATATTTATACAGCAACAAGGGTAAAGCTTATAATTACAGTATTTAGCTAAAGACCACAGACACAGAAGAGCACATATTCATGACTCCATTCACAGAAATTTAAGAACAGGCAAAACTAATCTGCTGTGTTTTTTGTCAGAAAATGCTTATTTGGGGGATGATGGCCATGGGAGAAGGGGGCTCTCGGGTTTCCCCTGCACTCGGTATCTATTCTTTTAAAAGGTTAGGCGCCACATCCATCCCCTCACATAGGACTTTTTGGTTTGGTTTGTTGGTGAGAATTTTTAAAGACTGACTCTCTTAGCAACTTTCAGATGCATAATGGAGCATTGTTTCCTACAGTCACCAAGCTTACGTTGATCCCCAGGACTCATTCCTCTTTAAGTGGAAGTTTGTACCTTTGACCATCTTCACCCATTCCCAGGCATCCCTCCCCCAGCAACCAGCATTCTACTGTTTCTGTGAGTTCACTTCCTTTAAGTTCCACATGTAAGTGAGATCATACAGTATTTGCCTTTCTCTGTCTGACTCATCTCACTCCGCATAATGCCTGCAAGATTGTTCCACGTTGCTGCAAATGGCAGGATTTCCTTCTTCCTCCCCACTGCATAGCATTCTGGGGTGCATGTATGCCAGGTCTTCCTCATCCATGCATCCGTAGAGGGACACCTGTGCTGGTTCCATGTCTTGACTGCTGGGACCTGCTCCCTATCTTGATTGAGTGGAAGTCCCACTATGATGTCCACTGTGTGTGGAGTTCATTGAGAGCTACCTTACAATTTTGTACTTTTCTGTACATATGTTTAACCAGAACAAAAATAATGTAAATGAAAAAAAGTAAGGCAAGTTCAGAGATACCACAACAGTATTTCAAAGTCCTTTTCCCACTCTAACTAATGAACCAGAACATGTTCAAGAGCTTGAGGCATCTTTC